CAGCTATGTGGTGGTAACCTGTTCACTACATTCAGTCCCACTCACCTGATCCTTTATATCCATCTTATCAAACTCATCAATGCAGCAGATGCCGTTATCAGCCAGCATCAGAGCCCCAGCCTCAATGCAGAACTCCCCTGTCTCTGGCTTTTAACCACGGAAGCTGTCAGGCCCGCCGCACTGCTGGACTTGCCAGGAATTATACCGCACGGGGCAAAATCCAGCCACATATCTGGTAAGGAAGGAGGGGGAAGGGAGAACACATAGTGAGGGGAGGGCACAATTTTGAGAGTCCTTGCTTCAAAGCAGAGCTTCACGCTGTCTTGGGCTCCTTCTCCACGCTTGCTATCAGCCCCGCATCACGCTCCCGTGGCGTATAGAACCGCCACGCATCTAATAAAACACATCGGCTACTCACTTAACGCCCAGATCCCAAATTAGTTCACACAAGTCAACGGGCAGAATTTGGGCTGGGCGGGTGGAAGAAACAATTGTGTTATTGGGTGCGAAACCATGTCACTTCGCGCAGGATTTCGTACGCAAAGTGGGCCCAGTTTGATTTGGGGGGAGATCAAGTTGGGCCAAACGCGGATCTGACGGCTGAGACGCAGGGACACATGAAGTCCCAACTTGTAAGCACAGTTATATCCGTCGATTGGAAAACTAGCGAGAGCATGGTTTTGTGGAAGTTGGGTTCGGCAAGCCCAATCCAGCACCGAAAACTGCACGAATCAAACTGGCCCCAGTTTGCTTACGAATTTTCCACCGTAGATATCTCAACCTCGATTTTGCGTCTCACTGTGGCGAAGGGGGAGTTGCTTCTTTTTTTCGTTGGGTGCTTCGCAAGCGCATCAGCATCAAACTGGGCCCAGTTTGTTGCCTGCTAGACTAATTTGGGACCTGGGCTTTAAGGAACTGGGGCTTGGCGCTTGAAGGGTCCCCACAGCTCACATGTTGTTTCCTGCATGTCCGGCAGCCAGATTCACCCCTGGAATAGACGCTGACAGACATCTCATAAAACACATCAGCTACTCGCTTGAGGAACCGCAACTTGGCGCAGGAAGGGTCCCCCACGACGCACATGTTGATATCCCCCGCAGGTTGATGCCCTCGTGGGTTTCTTGTGCACGTCCCCCCCATAACATATTGAAGCGCCTCACAACCACACCACAGCTGATACTCACCTGAGGAACTGGGACTTGCGCACATAAGATCCCCCACAACGCAACAGAGGCCCCCACGACGCAACAGAGGTCCCCACCGACGCAACAGAGGTCCCCCACGACGCAACAGAGGTCCCCACGACGCAACAGAGGTCCCCTCGTAGCATGTTGGAGGGCCTCACGACCACGACCATACCACAGCAGGCACTCACTTGAGAAACTGGGACTTGGCGCACGAGGGGTCCCCCACGACGCACACGTTGATATCGCCCCTGAGGTTGATGCCCTCATGGGTCTTCTTGTGCACGCCCCCAAACAGCATCAGCAGGATGGCACGCTTGATGTCCGCATGCCCGTACACTGAAGGTGCGACGCTCGCCACCAGGCGCTCATACAGGTTGCCGCCAGCCCTCATGCGAGCCATCTCCTCCCTCTCCTCGGGCTGGTATAGGAGGGAGGGAGTGATAAGGGGAGGGAGGAGGGGGAGAGGAGTAAGTGGGGATGTCAGCATGCGCGTGCACAGAGGGTGCCACACTAGCCATCAGTCTCCTGTCGGTTGCCGCCTGCACGCACGGGAGCCATCTCCTCTAGCTACTCAGGCTGGGGGGAAGGGGAGGCATAGGGGCAAGGGATTGCTCGGTTAATGTCAGCAAGCCCGCAGGCTGAGGGGCCCCGCTGGCTACCAGCCGGTCAGAGTGGTTGCACGTGCCCTCATGCGAGCCATCTCTCCTGCTCCTCGGGGGTTAGAAAGGGGGGGTGGAGGGGGGAGGGACAGACTGCCGCTCATAGGGGGGAGCACTGCCACAGCACTGCCCTCATTCACGCATTCGCTTCGGTCATGGCTGCAGTAGGGTGCAGTGAGGTGCAGCGAGGTGCATGCGTGAATGAGGCCACAGCACTGCCCTCTTCATCCTCCGCCCTGATGTTCACCAGCTGCTTCTCCTGATCCCCCGACTGCACAGAACATGCTGGGGCTGCTGTACCGCCCTACTGCACTACACCGCACTGCACCACAGTGCATCATACTGCACTCCAACGTACCGTAAATGAGGCCACCGCACTTCCCTCCTCGTCCTCCGCCCTGATATTTACCAGCTGCTTCTCCTGATCCCCTGACTGCACAGAACACGCCAGAAAAGCCAACCGGTACGACAGATCCCTCACCCCCAACGCCTTCAGCCCCCGCACCCCCTCACTAGCTCCTCCCCCGCCCCCCCTCCCCCTCCGCCCAACAGCTCCCCCCTCCCCCGCCCTCCCCCCCTCTCCCGTCCCCTGCTGCTTCGACCTCTGTGCCTCCTGCCTCTCCCCGGCCGAGTCAACGCCGCCACGTCAGGCACAACCACCAAAGTCCCTGAAAAGATGCACTTGTCGCCGGCACGCGCTTGCTCGACTAACTCGTGCCTGAGAATCACGTCTAGAGTGCGGGGAGGGACCCTGGAGGAACCTCGTCTGCGTTCTCCTGTACTCTGACTCTCTGCCAATCCACAAACTGGCACTCTGTGCGCTCTAGGGCCCATTTTTCTCTGTTAGAGCACGCTGCGTTACTGCATATGATGGGCTGCGTGTACTTGAATTGTTGCTCTATGTTCCGCTGCACTGAGCCGCACTCCAAGCATCGGAACGTGCCGTACAGCAGCTCCGGCCGGACCTCGGAGGTTCGGACGACCACACCGCTGACTGCAGATAGCTGGCCTAGCACTTCCACCTTCATATCTCTCAGCCTAGAAGGGAGCAACGGCATGGGGGAAGGGGGGGGGATGACAACATAGGATAACCACACCAATCACCCTGGATACCTGCCTAGCACCTGAACCTTCATGTCTCGACGCCTGGAAAGGGGGAGGGAGAGGAAAAGGAGGGTGGAAGAGGATTAGGAGGGGATATGATAACCATATGACAATACTGCTGACTGCTGATAGCTGACCCAGCACCGCTGACTGGATGTCACGAAAGCCTGCATCCAGGAGCCTCACTTGTGCATGACGGGGAGGTTGTAGAAGGCGAGGTATTGGGCTTGCCCTCATCCATGACATACTACTTGGGCTCGTGCTCCTGAACGAACACCTGACCAAACACCTGACCAAACACCTGACCAAACACCTACGGTTTCTCTGAGTCAATCCAATCGGCTCACTTGTGGATGACGGGGAGGTTGTAGAAGGCGAGGTAGAACTCCTTGGGTTTGCCCTCGTCCATCACGTACTTGGGCTCGTGCACCTGCACAAACATCTGCACTGCCTTGCGCAGAAACGGCTCAAACCTGCATGCATGCACGCATGCATGGTGCAGACACATCCATGATCCATGCAAGCATGCATGGCACAGGTACGTGAAGCAGACATGAGCACGCGGCAGATGCATGTGCGCATAAATATCATGCAAAAATAGAAAAAAAAAAACAAGATCCACACAAAAAACAAACGTAGAGTTTATGGTTCCCTCCGTCTCTCCTTAGCCCCCTTTCCCCGACTTACTGCTAGAAATCCCTCACCCTTCGGTTCCAAATGCAAAACCACTCCCTCCTCCAAGACCCCTTCTCCCCCACTATAACCCCCCTTACCTCCCTCCAAAACTCTCACCGGTAAAACTCCTCCAGTATGGCAGTGACGTGCGAGCACCTGGTTGTCGTGGGCCATGAGCGTGTAAAAGTCCTCCCATTCCCATCCCTCCCTCCAAAACTCTCACCAGTAGAACACTTCCAGTACAGCGGTTGCGAGCACCTGGTTGTCGTGGGCCATGAGCGTGTAAAAGTCCTCCCATTCCCATCCCTCCCTCCAAAACTCTCACCAGTAGAACACTTCCAGTACAGCGGTTGCGAGCACCTGGTTGTCGTGGGCCATGAGCGTGTAAAAGTCCTCCCATTCCCATCCCTCCCTCCAAAACTCTCACCAGTAGAACACTTCCAGTACAGCGGTTGCGAGCACCTGGTTGTCGTGGGCCATGAGCGTGTAAAAGTCCTCCCATTCCCATCCCTCCCTCCAAAACTCTCACCAGTAGAACACTTCCAGTACAGCGGTTGCGAGCACCTGGTTGTCGTGGGCCATGAGCGTGTAAAAGTCCTCCCATTCCCATCCCTCCCTCCAAAACTCTCACCAGTAGAACTCCTCCAGCACGGCCGTGGCGAGCGCCTGGTTGTGGGTCATGAGTGTGGGGAAGTCGACATACATGCTCGTCTTGCCGTACTGCACCATGGCGTGCACCGGCTAGGTACCCACCTCCTCCTCGCCCTCTCCCTCTCCCTTCCCCCAATACTCGCCGGCAAAACCCCTCCCCCCCGTCTCCCCTTTACGCCTACTTCCCCCAATCCTGTTCCCCCCCCCCCCAAGTTCTCACCTATAGAACTCCTCGAGAACAGCCGTGGCGAGCGCCTGGTTGTGCGCCATGAGCGTGGCGAAGTCGACGTATATGCTCACTTGCTGTACTGCACCATGGCCCGCACCTGCTGCCTACCCACCTCCTCCTCTCTCCGCCCCTCTTCCCAACCCTCCCCTTCCCTCCCTTCACGGGTAGAACTCCCCCTCTCCCGTCCCAGTCCCACATCCCCCCCCCCTTTGAACCTCCTCTACCTGACCCCATCCACTCACCTGTAGAATTCCTCAAGCACGGCGGTGGCGAGCGCCTGGTTGTGCGCCATGAGCGTGGCGAAGTCGACGTACATGCTCGTCTTGCCGTACTGCACCATGGACCTTAACTGCGCCACGTACTCGCGCACCATTGGCCCGTCCTCCTCCTCCTCCTGCTCGTCAACCCTCTGCTCCGTTCTGCCGTCCAGGTCATACCAGAAATCCACCCCAGGCCGTCCAGGTCAATTCCCAATAGCCAGCATTTACATTCCGGAATCCACCCCAATCCGTTCAGTTCAGGCCAATTCCCCATATCCAGCACCCATAAACCAAATTCAGATCCCAATGACCGGAATCCAGTTGCATTTGCCGTCACTCAACCGCAGTGAGATCCATAGAAAGTCATCATCCAAAGCAGCGGCCAGGCATCCACATTCTCATGACCCACACACGCCATCAGCCCCCAAAGAACAAGAAGAAAAAAAAAACGGAGAATTTATTTTCCAGCACGTGATGGTCACAGAGGCATTGAAATTCCTGCAATGGCCGTCTTGACTTACGTCACCGCCGTTTCAGCGCTCCCCAAATTCCCTCTTATCGCCGAATAAGACCTAGCTTCTCAAGAATCTACCACTTTCAGCTTACTGCGAGAACCCACAAGGAGACTCATTTCCTCTGAAAGCCCAATAATATAGCACGACTGTCTCTCTAGAGCTCTGCTTACGTCTGCAGGAAGTCGAAGAAGCTTCGCTGAACGTTCTCTCCCTGAGTGTCGACAGCTGAAGCGCGCGGGAAATCCGGTCTACCCTGACCACCGAAACCCCCTCCCACCTGAGCAGCACCGGCTCCGACTCCGTTCATAATGTCGAGATCTTGCGAAAAGGTCGGATCTGTAACTGACGCCCAGCGAAGGATTGAAAGATCCCCCAGCGAAGAACTATCTAGATTAGATGTGAATCTAAAATAAACGCTCAAATTCACGGTGCCAAACCGTCTAGGTTAACTTTGTCGACCATTCAGATTCGCTAAATGTGCTAGAAGATTAACTGACCGTTGCTAGGATCACGTACGAACGTAAAACTGACAAGGGAAAGGCCAGGCCTGAACTCAGACAAACTTCTGCTGACTCCGTTCGCGCCAAAACTGGCTTGTTTGGGATCAGGAGGGAGAGCAACCTTGCTGTTGTCAGGACTCCATACGCTTTACGGAGTGAAGACCCTATTCATTTTGGAATCATAAAATACAGTTCGATGAATACTGGACAAAGCAAAGGTTCTAATTGCAATCGCTCAAAGCAAAACTAGTAGTTCGGTTCAGTCAGGTTCGGGAGCGTTATTCGAGGCTCGTAAACCAGGTGAAACCGCAACACGGCGTTACCGCACCTGGGAACTTCGGCTATTTGTTAGGCCAAGCGTGAGGTTAGGCACTTCTGTTCACAACGCACCCTGCCTCGCTTCCCTCTAAAGAAAGTCCGAGCGTGTATGCCATGCCAGGGCGAACACCAGCCAACGTGCCCAAACCAGCTCCAATTGTTTTTCGAGCAGAGTAAGTTTCATCTGAATCGTCCGTTTTTTGAATCTGAGGCATGGACGGCTGAATATAACCGGAACGAAACGCACCTCCCGGAGGTGACCGACCAAGCGCCAACAGAGAAACCTTTCACCCAAGCACAGCTGACGAAGCTGCAATTTCGTAACGCTCTCGGAGCACGAACAGAGCGACAATTCGAGAAGGCTAAAGGGGGCAAAATAGAGGCCAACCAGAACAAATTCCGCTTCGACAATCAAGGATCCGAAGTTTTTCGGATTAAAATTCACTAACTTACTCTCTCTCACGTTCCTGGTCACCTTGTCTGATGCTCCGTAGAACAAGCAGTCATTATGAGGATTAGACCAAAGCACCTTATTGTGGCTGCATGCATCACCTTACTATTTCTGCCCTTCATCTGTGCTCCTGCTTCGAGCGCCGCGGCGGCAAAACCGAAATACAATGCGAAAGCGCACCTAACCAAAGTCCGAGCTGCGCTCAGGCGAGGGGGCTTTACGAAGTTCGACAAATACATCAATTCAACTGGTAGGGCGTCGCGCGGGTGACGCGGAGATATTGGTCCCAGCGAGCCCCAAATTCAACTCCCCTCATCTTCTCATCTTCCAGTTTGGCCGTCCGTCAATCTTAGAGAAATTACGACAAATCCACCATTTTATGTGGCTCCCTATCACAGGATTCCTACCCATTTTGCTGGACGTTATGAAGGAGTACAAGCTGACAATCCTGGCGCCGACAAACACTGCCTTCGCCACCGTTTCGGCGAGGAAGGACATGAAGAATCCCAAGCACGCGATTCAGATAATTGGCTATCATTTCCTCGTCGACAAGCACAGCTTCGCTCAGCTGATCAAATACAAAACCGGGACCCAGGTAAGACTTTTAGCGTTTGCAGATTAGCTGAGTGGTGAACGTTAAGGCAAAACGTCTTAGGTGTTATGTGCTCCCTCATCCCCCGCCATCAATTGCATTTCCTAACCACCATCATTATCCAACCCTGCCTTCTTTCAGTTTTCTACACTGAACTATCGGCAGAAGATTCAGAAGGTTCAAGCTAAACGGGGGCAGGTCCGTTTGGGCCCCAAGTCAGGTGCTAAGTACGTTGGAAAAATCGTCAGGAAAGACCTCTACATTTCGACCCTTGATGCTGTTCATGGAGTAGATACAGTAATTAGACCCCCCTATTTGAAATAGGGATGCAGCAGAGTGTAATGGTATGCATGTCATGTAGTAGTTGCTCTTTTGGGGATGAGGTGGTCTAAACGTAGTGGTCTAATCCATTTGCATGCCATTTGACAAGGCAGGTTTGAATAGTGAGCGGACAAGCTAACTTATGGAGGTTTTCTAGCCTCAAGAGAATGTGTAAATCATAATTGGACTGGCACTCATGCTGAATAAAAAATATTGTTGAAAGCGTAAGCATCTCATCTAATTTTTTTAGAGGCGGAACTGATTTACTCGCCAGTACAGTTCGTACTGATGCCTGTCATGTGTTAGAAAGGTCAAGCCTAAAACGGAGAAAATGTCGGTGCTGTTTACCTGGCTGGAGCATGAGCTCCTCGACGGTTCCACCGCATGCGGCACGAGTTCCGTTCCCATCTGGATGCCTGGAAGTTTGTCGGCGGCAGGAAGCAGCCCTGATCACCTGCGACTCGTCAGGTTCATGGTCAAAACTCGCCATTTTTCGTGAACACGAATGCTCCTGTGTTCATACTCGCAAGTCTTTCGCGAAAGCCCTTCCCCATCCACTGTTCCTGACAGTTTCGCGCCCTCCAACAGCCAGACCTTCTGCCACCACAACGCGTGAACCAATTTTCCCTTCCTTCCCCCTCCCCACCTTTCCCCACTCTCCCCCACCCCACGCCCTCCCCCGATTCCCCCACTGGGTTCCTTCACTCCCCGACTACCAGCCAAACCATTGGCTGAACAGGCAGGTAACCACGCGGTAACAGCACGCAGATGCACCAATTTGCCGTCGATCTCTCCACCTCCTTCACCACTCCCCCCTCCCGCCCCACCACAACACCCCCTTTTCCCTGCCGCCGTATCCCCCTCCCCTTCCACTTCCTCGCCTTCCCTTTCATCAATCAGCGTGTCCTAAGTGTACGCCTAAGCATATGCTTTCCGCCGTTTTGGCTCCATTCCCGAAGTGTTTTTTCTTGTGCTCCATAGCCCAGATTTAGCCTGCTCCGTTCTTCTTGTGGAAGTCCACAGGCTGCTCTCAGAAGGTGTCTTGGAGCTGCCAGAACGATTTTCCTCTTCATAGTCGGTTTGACGCTGGTTTGAAAGCCGGGGTTTGATAGTATCCATCCACGGCGGGAACCGTTTCGTCGTGTCCCTTTAGCGTCGTACTCTGGCATTCAGTAATGGCTGCTCGACAAATGGCTGTGCTTATCCTCGCCCTAGCTGCGTCCTGTCTAATCACTTCCGAAGCGGCGAAGTACAACGGTCAGCAGCAGCTCACCGCGATTCGCGGAGCGCTTAAATCCAAAGGTTACAAGAAATTCGACGCCTTTCTCGAATCGACCGGCTTCATTAAGAGTCTCCTGCCGGTGCTTAACGACTGGAATGTGACCGTCCTCGCGCCGGTCGACTTTGCCTGGAATACGAATTCCGCGAAAGCGGACATGGCGGACAAGAAAAAGGCTCCGCAGATCATTGGTTATCACTTCATTGTGGGAAAGCGAACGTTCAAAGAGATGCTGAAATACAAGACCGGCACCGAGGTACGTGCTCGATGGTGTCTAACTTATGGGATAAGATGCTGAAATACAAGGCCGGCAACGAGGTACGTTCTAGCTGATATCTAAGTTCTAGGCTGCTGAAATGCGAGACCGGCACCGAGGTACGTGTTAGGTGGTGTCTAGCTTATGGAATAAGAGATGCTGAAATACAAGACCGGCACCGAGGTATGCGGTAGCATGTATTAAACTTCCAGGAAAGAGATCCTGGAGCATGCTACAGCTGATGTCTACTTTCTACCGTAAGAGATGCTGCGATGCTAAACCAGCACCGATGTATGCGCTAGAAGATTTCTAACCGATAAGAAAGGAGTTGCTGAATCGCGAAACCGGCACCGAGGTGTGTACGAAACCGGCAGATGATGAAACAAGCACTCAGGTATTCTCACGCGGAGATCTAAACTTTTCTGCTTGTGAGTCGATTTTTTAGGCGCCTCAAAGAAAGGCTCAAACGCGGAGTTTTAAACTTGTCTGCTTTCGAGTCGACTCAAACGTGGAGATCTGAACGTGAATGTTTCGTCTTCTGAGGTTATGAAGCCCAGAGCCGAGCCTGTCTACAGTCCGACGTCGACGGTTGCATATGCATCCCCTATCGAAGGAAAAAGAAACACGTACTGTAGCAATATGCGGTTCAGCCGTATGAGCCTCATATGCTGTGGCTCGCCCGTGCCACTGCGGATGCACGGGTTTCACTTATAACACGCGACGGGTCGCAATTTCACATTGAACACGCGACGGGTTTCACTTTCACTTTGAACACGCGACGGGTCGCAGTTTCACAGTGAACATGATATCGCAGTCCAATGCTGTCCTTGAAATGTCTCGAAAACCAACTCACATCTCGTCCGTTTCACCGTTCCACTGGATGAGGTGAACGGTGAAAGCTCAAAACCAGGTCAACTCATCTTGTCCACAGTTGATCTCAACTCAAGTCAAGGATGGTGGAAAGGGACTGGCTGTTTCATCTGCTCCCGCCTTCTCTCCAACGCGCTTTTGCCTCCGCTTTCTTCGTATGGCGTTACAGATGGTGACGTGCAATGCGTCTAACGAAGATGCCGATTGTGAGAACGTCGTGGTTGCAGTCCCCGTTTCAAGCCCGCTTCTTTACCGACCTTTCCCCCGCTTGTCTACACAGATGGTGTCGCTGAACTATCAGATGAATATGCTGAATGTGCGGGCAACATTGGTGGTGATGCTCAACTATCAAATGAGGATCCTGAATGTGTGGACCAAGTGGGGAGAGCCGTTTCTTCTACCGTCCTTCCCCCTCCTGTGTGCACCGACGCTGACGCTCAACTGTCAGACGAAGATGCTGAATGTGCGGGCGAAGCTGCGAGACGTGCGATAGGGATCCTCGATTCAAGCTTGCTCTTCTGCCCTCCTTTCCCCCCCTTGTGTGCACAGATGGTGACGCTCAACTATCAAATGAAGATCCTGAATGTGCGGGCCGCCTCGGGCGTGGTGCGCTTGGGACCCTCGATTGGAGCAAAGTACACTGGAAAGATCAGCAAGCCTGGCGTTTTCAATGGGAAGATTAATATCGTTCACGGGGGTTGACACGGTGATTCGCCCGCCGTGGTACCAGGGAATCAAGGGAGGGAAGTAGGGATAAAGGGAGGGCAGTTGTAATCAAGGGAGGGGAGGAGATAAACGTACTTCGTGTACAGCTTGTTTGGCTCTGATTTCAATGGGAAGAGGCATGAAGACTATGGGGTTGAAGCACCAGTGCCCTTAGACTGCATCTGCATACCAGTACAACCATTGATTGCTAGTATTCCAAGTGCCCTTTCGCATGAATTTGACAGCTGCATGCTGTGTTCATTCTCTATCTACTTTATCTGCATCTTTTTACGTGAAGAGATGACAACACTGCTGCCTTGGATCCAAAGTGGGCTGGATAAGGGTGCACAACTACGGTTGTACAGCACTTGTCGTCCCTGGCACTGATTAGTAGTTACCTAGTTTGAGTACCCTGGATCTTGTCTACACTTGTACAGCACTTGCTTAATAGTTATAACCAGGGCTGACGTTTAAAAAAAAACCACCCTGAGCTGTCGAATGGGGAAAATTTTTTACCCTGAGGGCCTAGTGTTGGTATTTTGACTTCCCTGATTTCTCAGTGTTCTGGAACTTACAACCCTGAAACCTCCAGGGTTGGCTTGCAACAATCAGGGTTGCATTGTACTTGGGAAAAAATCAACTAGGAATGTACAGCTACTAGTTAAGTAAAAGCACCACTACGCCACGCCAGTCTACAAGTCCTCTATCTAGTCTAGACTTCACAATATTCCATGCCACTAGCTACACTTGACTAAAATTCTGGGCCATCCATGTTCACTTCGTCTTCTGCGTCGTCATCGGACAGAAAGGGGTTGTCTTCCTCTTCAGGAGCCTCTCCCCCCACTGCCCCCACTCCCCCCTCCTCCTCTCCCTCATCCTCTGCCCAATCCCCCATGTAGTCGGGGACTGCCTCCTCCTCCACCCTCACTTCTGCCCCCTCAATCGCCTTCGCCTTACGCTTCCTCTCCGCTGCGGCAAACAGAACAGACTTAGCAGGGCGCCTCAGCTTCTCGCGCCAGCACCCAATGGCCTCGTCCCAGTCAGTCTCGTACTGCAGCAGGGAAATGACCATCAGCTCGCTGAGGCGCGCATTGCACAACGCGCCCCGCACCCATGACTTGATGACGTTCTGCCGCGAGAAGCCTCGTTCACACTCCACTGTGCTAAGCGGCAGGACAGCGCATGCCTGCCACAAGCGCATGAGGTTGGGCCAGCGCCTGCCAGAAGGGTTGGGGGAATAGAGTACATGGAACAAGACCAGTGCATTAGCAATGCTTGTCAACAATCGATAAACAACAACTGATAAAGGAAACAATGAAACCGCCCAAAAGGAAAATCAATAATCGTCCTTCGAGCAGCACTCTCTCACAAGGTCGACTCCGTCGAGCCGAGGTAGTTCGTCAGGCCTTGATGGAATCCTTCGTCGGCATGGTGGCTCAGCATTAGTGGCGCCCACGTGACCAGCTCCTTCTGCGCAGCTTGCAAGGAAAAGCCTGTCAGCCTGTTGTCGAACAAGGCACTGCAGCCATGTAGGTACTCCTTCAGCTTCTTCTCTCTCTGCTGCTTCATCCGGGGCCACTTCGACACGCGGAAGAGCTTCGTCGGGCCGAGATTGTTCAGGTCCAGCATCCTCGTCTTCAGGAAGCTTATCGTGTCCTTCGCGAATTGCGCGCAGAGCCGCTCGCAATCGGGGTACTTGCTGCGGAAGGCATGCCCGTCGATCTGCTTCTCGTGCATGGTGTAGGTGTGCGTGACTGGGTTGCCGTCCTTGTCGATGCCCCGCACCTTTACGCGTTTGCCCCCTCCGCGCCCGTAGACCGCCAAGAAAGCCGAAAGCCACGTGCCTTCGACACCCCCGCCGAACACCTCTCCGCACTCCAAGTAGCGGTGGCGGAGGTCCCCTGTCGCCTCGTCGATGTCCTTCGTCACTTCGGTGACATCGACCTGGTGGATGTGACAGACGACGGAGTGGAGTCAGAGGGTGATTCCAAACGTGCATGCATGGGACAAAAATTACATGCAGGGTGATAGAAGCTCACCTCCCTCTTCTGGAATTTGAGGTTGAGCTCATTCATCACTCCGAGGACGTCCGCCAGGAAAAAAAGACAAAACTGGAACTTGTAACAGATAACGACCTCATACAGCTCATGCCCGTACTCATAGAAGAGAATGATAGCGGCGCCGAGGACCTTACAAAGGTTCACAGCCTCACCCCTTGAAAGCCAGCGCACGGTGTGAATTCCTTGCACTTCAAGGTTGGTGTTATGTATTGCCCGCTGCAGGTACTTGAAGCGTTGACTCCAGACACATGAACGTCCCAGAAGATCGGCCAGAGTCCGAATCACAAGGTCGACCATGTCGAAGTCTGGAGAAGCAGTGGCCGCGTCCTTCACCGCCAAGGCTTCCCTGCATGGTGCACACAAGGGAATTTTAGTCAAGCACTTGTAGGAAACCTAAGCGACTGAAATGACAAGCGGTTAAACCTGTGGGCGATGCAGTGCGAAGAGACGAGATGGGGGATGTGCTCGCGAAGTCGGGCGACGAGACCGTTGTCTCGGCCGACCATGACAGAGGCGCCGTCGGTGCTCATGCCGGTGATTCGGGAGAGATCGATGCCAGTTGCTCGCAAGTGAGCCAGAAGAACGGCGAGGAGTGACGCGGCGTCGCACTTTTCGACGGTCAAGAGTGCAAAAAACTCAGTCACAACACGATGCGCCCGCAAGAAGGTCAGATAAACAATCAGATGTTTACCGCGAGTACGGTCAGTGCTCTCGTCGCAGCTGATGCCGAGGTAGGGTGAGGCGAGAATGTATTGCATTTGTCGGCGCTGCAGGTAGGTTGCCAGGCTGCTGACGAGCTGACAGAAGCCATACCTGTAGTAGCAGAAGTGACAACAAGGTGTTGGTTAGACCTTTTTGAAAAAAAAAGGACATGGTGTACTTCGAATAAGTGCATTACCTTGTCAGGTAGACTCCGTAAGACTGCAGCGGAATGTCCGGTGTCTCCTGCTTGGCCATGAAGCGGAGTAGCCTCGGGTACATGCTGATGGGTGCATCACACTTGCACAGGAAGTCGACGCAGCGTAGGAGCCTCATGACGCGCTTCCCTTCGATGTCAATCCGCGCGTAATTCTCCATGCGCCTCTGGGTGCTGGCGATCTCTTCGGCGATCTCCATCTGACGCTTGACGGCTACTTCGTGGGCTGTCGTGTGTTCGTGGAACCGCATCGCTTGCGTCTGCAGGTCACGTGCCCCGTCGCGGCTGTTGGAGTACGGTGTTGTCTCTTTGCCGAAAGCCTTGCACACACTGCACTTCAAAGCAGGGTAACCATCTTTCGTTTTCGTTAGCAGAAGCCAAGGGAAAAAAGGAAGCCAGCTGGTCTTATACTTGTGCTCAGCCATGAGATACTTCTGCTCGATGAGTTCCTTCTTTGAGAGCTTCGGCGGCTCGGGTTCTGGAATACCAGGGGCCTGAGGTTCAGGCGACGAGCGAGGCGGCGACGGTCTATGTAGCTTCCCGCCGAGGACTATCGTGCTCTGGGTGTACTTCCCGACGCGTGCTTTCTTCCCAGATGAAATCGTCGACGCACACTCGACCGTGTAACGCACGGTCGTGGCTGTCTCGCAGTCTGGAACCAAAGGGCCCCGGTTAGATGAAGCGACAGCGGGCGGAGGTACATAGGGAGCGGCGGGAGTAGATACGGGTTGTGATGGTGTAAGGACTGCGGTGGGAGACCGCAAGATGTCTAGCGCGGATCTACGGACCTCCACGGGGCGGTCCCTACCTAGTTCAGAACTATCGTCGGCACTGGGAGACTCACCAGAGTCTCCTACATCCGCCATGGCTAGAAGCGGCGGATATGCTGAAAATGAGAAATCGGCGCGACGAAACTAGAGGAGATTGAAGACTGGAGCATCTCGCAGCTGTGACGTGAAGAAATGAAAAAAACTGGGTTGGAGGAGGAGCTGGTGAAGAAGACGGGAAGAGGACCAAGAAACCCCATCTCTCGATTTTCATGGATGGTGCATAACCCATCCAGGTTCCCGTATCGCCATGGCGATACCGTCAACGGCGAAACGCACCTGCGCTGGCATCGTCTGCACAGAGATGATTGGCGGGGTGATGTCATACAGAGGCTGACATTGCCGCGCTCATCATATTCTGTCCTCGTCTGCTGCGTGCTGAGTCACGAATGCCAGTTGACGGTTGCAAATGTTGCTGTAATGGCAGCATACAGCGTGTATACGGCGGGAATCTTGCCGAGTGCAGATTCCCCACGTGACGCATGCTGGGCGTGTTCAATGGACTGGGCCCCGTCACGCGTAAGGGGGCCATTTCGAGGAAATTCAGGGTCCGCATGGATGTCGCATTCAGGGTTCGTACGCGTTACTCCCTGAAAACTCAGTGTTGGTATAACACAAACCCTGAAATTTTAAGTGTTCACAGACATACAACCCTGAAGAGGTTAGGGTTCAAAAAAACCCAACCCTGAAAATTAAGGGTTGGCAAAAAAAATACCCTGTGAAATCAGGGAATCAGGGTAAAATACCTTGATAACGACAGGCCTGGTTATAACCTAATAGGATTCTGTATATCGTAGTCTGCTGCTGTTTATGAATTGCACGCCCAAATTTGGAACCGGTAAGTCAACAAGTGGGACATTGTTAGAAAGAGAGAATGACTAGAATAGGAAGATACAGGGCAATATAGACTAGTGTGATGTACCTTCTAAGGCACAAACCTGTATAGTCTACAGTAACAACATAAGTTATGTTGACACACCCCCTAGACTATATAGGCGCAGTGCCTAACAATGGAAGAAGCTGTTAGAATAAGATGATGATTACTAGGAAGAGAAACCTAGAACATATACCTGTTGGGGTTGTACTCACTAGAAGCACACACCTAGTCTAGCCTATAACTTCTACATAGAACATATGCATAAGTTGACACACCCCCTAGGCTAGGTAAAGGGTGAAGCTAAGCAAGAAGCACACAGCTCAGGGTGGCACTACTAGTCCAACCACTGAGGCAAGGGTCCGGAGATCAGTAAGCAAGAGTACAAACAAGACTAAAGCAAGCCAGGGCGGCACTTCTAGTCCAGCCACTGGAGGTAAGGCCACAATGCCAGTCAGACAGATATAAATAGTAGCGAGTACACCATCAGGGTCCTAACAAGTGAGAAGTGACAGGAACAAGACCAAGCTGGACACAGTGCCGCTGATGATCTTTAGGCACAAGCGCCTTAGTAAAGATATCAGCAGTGTTGGCACCGGAGGCCAAGTGAACTACGCGGGCCTGGCGACGCTG